AAATACATTTTATTTGACTCAAATTGTGTAGCGAATTTCTCAGTAGAAATTAATTAAAGATATAACAGAACCAGTCGAAAGAAAGAAAGAAAGAAAAGAGTAGAAAGAGCAGAAAGAAATTACAAACCGTTAAAAAAGTTTATATTTCGAGAGTACATCATTTATCATTCAAAAAATATATTCATGTAATTGAACAGTATCAAACTTAGACTTTGTTGCACACTGCATTCGGTATTGAGAGGGAGTTCCATTCCGTACCTCGGAGGTAAAGGACACTATGTCCATTTTCTTACTTTTTAAGGAGAGTAGTTTTAACATTTTTTAAATTTGTAATCAGTAAATACTCAAATGTGTCTGATATTTAACCAAAATTAATATAATATATTAATTTTGGTTAAATATCAGAAATATTTGAGTATTTACTGATTACAAATTTAAAAAATGTTAAAACTGCTCTCCTTATAAAGTAAGAAAATGGACATAGTGTCCTTTACCTCCGAGGTACGGTGGTTCACATTTTTATAAAATTTTCGCGCTTCGCTTTGTGAATTGAGCCTTTCTAGTTCCTGTATCTGGTTTTATAAAACTCTTTCTTTTCTTCACTCCACTATATATTACTGTATAGTCTCCGATTTATTGGCTTTCTTTGAGTTTCTCTTTAGTTTTGATTATTGTTGCAAAATCTACTTCCATTTCTTTCAATACCTTTTTTCAATTCAATTTTTTTAGAAGCTATTGCTCTGGCATTTCAAGTTGCTGTTTTTATTATATCGCTAATCCAAAGTCGTTTTTCTTTTTGGTTCGCATTGATCGTCAACTTATAACCAGTCTGGGTTCCAAGGTTTCTTTAGTTTTTTTTGGAAGCCATCGGATATGGACAGGTCGTAGATTCAAATGGCTTGTATATCTTCTATTTATTCTTGATTCCTATTCTAGAACTCTCGAAACTTGTACCGGCTTGTACAGATCTAGAGAATGGTTATTATATCATTTGTGAGTGAATTGGTAGTTCCTAAATAGTATTTGCCTCCAACGATCTAATAACTAGTAGTCATTAAAAATATGGTTACTGTTTCATGCCACAGAGTCTGCAGCTTAAATATTCATAAAAAAGCCCCATTATATAAGAGCGCATGGCGCATGTTCAGTAAGAGAGCCTTTTAGGATTTTGGACTAATTTCTGCTTGTTTCCGCCTTACTTTAGCCCTATTAACGCATTTTTGTTTAATATATATTGGCCATGTACTTGATTAGACATTCTTTCTCAGAGTCAGTTATCGTATTCGAATCCAGGCTCTTTTCTGATAGCGGAATTTTGTTTGCCACTCAAGACAAGCCCTGGATGGAAGTATTTTATAGCTGATCTGGTTTTAGAAAGTATATCAGCTTTTTCGTTGTCATGTATTTTCTGATGAACCAGCAACAATACCAGTATGACACTGTTATGTTCCTCCACTCTATTGTTGTTTTTGTTCTCGATGTGCCTACATTAACCTCAGGATTTATGTGAACTCTATATATTTCCGCTTAACGTGTATATATTGATCCGCTGATCTGTTCTGATCAGCTGTGTTCTAAACCAATAGAGGTATCCGGGAAGGAATCACCAGTAGGACTCCATAACCGCTATTGATGTGCCTCTTAGAGCTTCTATGATTCCAATTCCAAAGTTTTTGCGCTTTGCTTAATTTTAGTACGCCAATTATTTGCTGCAACTTTATCGACCATTCCACTGATACATTTTATTGTTGGTGTTGTCACCACGGTATAAATCCATTATATCATGTCTGGTTTTAAACGCCAAATTTTTCCATGAGCGCGTCTGGCTTTTAAAACAGTTACCACTCTCTTGGTTATTCGTTTTATATGCTGATTCTAATTTAGTCTAGAGTTTACCATTCCCTTAAGGTACTTTATTTTACTACCATATTTATAGTTGTATAATATACTATGTTATATTAAGCCTTATATTTGAAGTCCATCCTATAACTACATTTAAAGCCTGCATTATATCATCTGCAAGTACACTGCCAGTACAACAATTTTACCAGAGTCATCTGCTCTATCTTCTCTAGGTGAACCACATTTGTTGTAGGTGTTTCCTTTAGTCTATAAATTCCAGTTTTAAGGCTCTGGAAATTCACATTTCGGCCTTTCCAAGAAGAACAGGCCTGACCTGTTTTTTATGCGTTCTAAAATATGTTTGTTCTAAAATATACAGGTTGATTGATTAGTGTGAGGAAGCTCAGTAGATCTATTATAGTAAAAATTACTAAAAAAAGTTATTAATAAAAATTGTAGGCAGCTTTAAACTCCATATTTTAAAATTAGTTACAATCCTACAGGGTGTTCCATAAGATGGTGGCAGACCAAACTTATGTTTTTTTAAATAAAACACCCTGTATTTTATTTTAAATTTGAAATCTGCTTCACTTCCACATTACAACAATGTAAAGTTTTATTATGTTATACCGGGTATTTAAAAAGTTATAACCAATATTACCTGAAAATCGTATCAAGTTTAACTCCCTGTATAATTAAAAAGGATTGTAGGAACATTGATCTATTGCAACCATAGTATTTTAATAATTGTTAAAAACTATAAAACATATTCATTTTCATAATATTCGTTAAATCAAATACAGGGTAAGTCAAAATGCAAGTACATTATTTTCTTGGTAATTTTAAATAGAACACCCTGTATTTTATATCACTATCGAAAAGAACTAATATCGTACTTCATATTTTATTAAGTACTCCCTATACCTAAAGTTATTAGTTTTAAAGATATTTTTATTTTTCCATCAAAGTATTAATTTGGTAGATATTTTAACGTTTACCAATAATTATTGTGAGTTGGCCATGATTGATTTGTCAGAAACTGACAGTTTGACATTAATATTTATTAATTCAGTATTGGGGTACACCGTAAATTAGCAACAATTATTATTTAGTAATTCAGTAATTGATTCAATTTAAATTAGCAATAATGAATTTTACTACTGATGAAATGGTAGATATGATCTGGATATTGGGGGAATGCAATAAAAATTCATTACTATCAGCTAGAATTTATCAAGAACGGTTTCCGATAGGCGACAACCTAGACAAGATACATTTGAAAAATTGAAAGATCGATTTAACCGCACTGGTTCAGTGAATTATGAAAACATGAACGAACAAAAACTAGTGTGACAGAGGAAAACGAAATAAGTGTGTTGATGGCGGTTACAGAAAACCCACACACAAGCATAAGGACTATTTCCAATGAACATCTGATGATTTTCAGAAACGAATAGTATTTTGTGAATGGGCCTTAGAAAAAATTAATGAGCAGAGAGATTTTTTTGATTATGTCCTATTTGGTGATGAAGCTACATTCCATCGAAACGGTTCTTTTAATAGGCATAACTTTCACTACTACTCAACAAGTAATCCATACCACATAGTAACACATAGTCAAACAAGATGGTCTCTAAATGTGTGGGGAGGTATCGTCGGTAACCATGTAGTAGGACCATATTTTTTTGAAGATAATTTAAATGGTGAGATTTATTTAGATTTTATCGTAAATCAGTTACCGATATTATTAGAAAAGGTTCCACTTAATATACGTGAAAAAATGTGGTTTCTACATGACGGTGCTCCTGCGCACCACAACGAATTAGTACGTGGTGAACTTAATAATCAGTTTGGGTAAAGATGGATCGGAAGGGATGGACCACCCAAGGTCACCAGAATTCAATAAAATGGACTCATTTTTTTGGGGTTACGTTAAGAACGAAGTATATAAAATACTTCTTTACAAATGCTTAGTAATGTAACCATCTCTTTCAATGACCGTTTTCAAGCATGCATGGATGTTTTGGGAGGTCATTTTGAACACCTTACTTAAGTAAGATAAGTTAAGTAAGTAAGTTATCTTACTGTTGTTTTTAATTTTCTATGTGTTATATTTTTTTTTATTTTCCGTAGGTTATTTTTTATAAATTTTATTTTAAATAAATTGTTTTCTTTTCTGTGTCGTTATTTCGTTACTAAATTATTAAACAATAATGTCAAACTGTCAGTTTTTGACAAATCAATCATAACCAACTCACAATAATTATATTGTGAGTTGGTAAACGTTAAAATATCTACCAAATTAATACTTTGATGGAAAAACAATAATATCTAGAAAACTGATAACTTTAGGTATAGGGAGTACTTTATAAAATTTGAAGTACGATATTATTACTTTTTGATAGTGATATAGAATACAGGGTATTCTATTTAAAATTACCAAGAAAATAATGTATTTGCATTTTGACTTACCCTGTATTTGATTTAAACGAATATTATGGAAACGAATATGTTTTATAATTTTTAACAATTATATAAAACTATGGTTGCAATAGATCAATGTTCCTATACTCCTTTTTAATTGCACAGGGAGTTAAACTTGATACGATTTTCAGGTAATATTGGTTATAACTTTTTAGATACCCGGTATAACATAATAAAACTTTACATTGTTGCGATGTGGAAGTGAAGCTGATTTTAAATTTAAAATAAAATACAGGGTGTTCCATTTAAAAAAACATAAGTTTGGTCTGCCACCATCTTATGAAACACCCTGTAAGATCGTAACTAATTTTAAAATGTGGAGTTTAAAGCTGCCTACAATTTTTGTTAATAACTTTTTTTAGTAATTTTTACTATAACAGATCTACTGAGCTTCCTCACACTAATCAATCACCCTGTATAAGTTTTTATTGTCTTTTTAGAGTCCTTAACTTTATTTCACTGATTAAGTTCGGGAAGAAGAAACTTATACAATAATTGCGCTCACACGAACATATCCTTGGAGTGTAAATACACATTATCCAGGTTTTTGCAAAAAAAATTATTTTGTCGATATATTTTATTGTCTCTAGAATTTCTTATTAATGGGGATAATTTATTAATTTTAGGTCCTAAACCCTCCTCAGTGAGAGGGTTTCATCACTATGGAAGTAGCAATGCCCATGACAGGCAGTGCTATCGACTGTTATGAGGACATGTTCAAAGAGATTACAAGAAAACTGTATGGAGAAGATGGATTGCCAGATCTTAGTGCCAACGAAAGGTTAGCTTCGACGAGCACAGATAGGGGTCTAACACCTATAGAATATGAAGTAGAAAACCCTATACTAAAACCCGAAGAACATTTAACCGCTTTTGGGTTAGCTGCTCTTATGCAAAATGGTTTTCCCCCAAGTGGTATATTAAATCCTAACTTTCAATGTCATAAACCTAATACTGGAACAATATTGAATACTGCTTATGAGGATAAATGGATATCAAGCGAAGAGAATTTACAATGGACGGAGTCGAAGATTGCCACATACAACCCCGCACAAAAGCTGTATAGATGTTCTGAGTGCGACTGTGTAGGATATCTTCTTCGAGTGGCTGAGCATTGGTTAGGAACGCATTCTACACTTAGGGCTTTCCATTGTCCTCAATGCCCGTATGAAAGCGCTTGGGCTAGATGTGTAAGAATACATCTAAATAGGCAACATAATATCAACACCGATGAATCATGCGATACGTTTACCAAAGATAATCCCGTACTTCAAGAGATTGTTAAATATTTACAAAAATTGAAGAATAAATTAGAAAGTAATTGCAATAAAAATTCTGCACCGAGTACTGTGCAGAGTGAGGACTATCATAGTCAGTCAATGAACAGTTCTTCTACAATATCAAATGCTTCCCAAACAATGAATAATCCTTCCTCCGCTACTGCCGAACAAAATAGTAATACGTCTAAACGATACAGCTGTACTTTTTGTCCGTATGCTACAGATCGACGAGATTTGTTTACTAGGCATGAAAATATCCACAGAGAAGAGAAACCTTTTCAGTGCTACGTCTGTCAAAAACAGTTCAACAGGGCAGACCATGTAAAGAAACACTTCTTAAGAATGCATAGAGATCATCCGTATGATCTAAACAGGATTAGACGACATCCACCTAAAAATGCATCCGGAATGTCCTACTATCAAAAATATAATTCCAATATAACGAATCAATCCAGTGATTTATCAACGATAAGCTCTCTATCTATTCCTGGCTTTAATAACATGTCAAGAGCTCCTCAAATGAATACGAGAGTCCAACAATCCGACCTAAAAACGAACGTGAAAACCGGAAACCTTTCCCGAAGTAACGGAAAGAAAAAGGGAGAAAAACGATTCACTTGCTGCTACTGTTCATGGAGCGGTGTCGACAATTGGTGCCTTAAAAGACATATGAACACACATTTGAAACCGTTTGTGTGTGGTTTGTGTGACTACAAAGCTGCTAGATCCGAGCGACTGGCCACTCATGTTTTGAAAGTGCACAATAAGAGAGCATGCAGCAAATGCAATTATCTGGCTGATGATTTAACGCAGTTGTCGGCACACCAACAGGAGCAGCAGTAAGTATATGGGTTAATATTTTTTTTTTCTTGCTTTTTTCCTTAAAAAGAAAAAATAGTTTATTTATTCCTAGTACTACCTTAGAGTAAGTTAGATAGTTAAATATAAATACTTAAAATTTAAACGACCAGTTAGTCTTTAATAATAATAGTCTTTAATAACAAAAAACTTGATTTTATTTATCAGATACGATACACATACACGTAGGAATTGTCAGGTAAAGTGGTCTCTAATAAAATTCTTTGTTTTTTTTTCTAAGAATCTCAATGTTTCGCTATTTATTTAATAGCTTCATCAGGAGTACACTGTAAAACATTTTCAACATTACAAAAATGGCGTACAAATATATTAAAAAAAAACATTTACAGTTATTAAAAGATTTCACAAATAAAAATTGGCATTGAAGTTTGTAATAAATGTCATGAATGTCAGGTAAAGTGGTGTCTAATAAAAATCTTTGTTTTTTTTCTAAGAAACTCAATATTTCGCTATTTATTTCATAGCCGCATCAGGAGTACACTGTAAAACAATTTCAACATTACAAAAATGGCGTACAAATACATTAAAAAAAAACACTTAGGGGAGAAGGGGGTTACTGTGGACCATTTTACTTATTAGCAAATTAAAAAATATGTATAAGATTCTTATTGCTGAACTTACCTCACATATTTACTGTAAACATCAACTCAACTTTCGATGTGAATATTTTATTTGTATCTTTCTTAATAGAACAAATATTTTGATTCAAATCGGAATCAATAATTTGTCCACAATGACCCCGTGGTGGGGTTAAAGTGGACAGAGTATGGGGTTATAGTGGACGCATAGTAAAACATATACAGGAATACTGAAAACTTTATGTTAACAAAAAGAAACTACGATACGTTATAAGAACTGAAATTAATATTAAATGAAAATAATCTTCCTTGCCTTTTCGTGCCAGTGTCTACTGGGTGCTCCAAAATTCCGACAATATCGTTCTTGTCGACAACTGAGACATCTTCAACTTCGGGAAATACGAAATTATTCACTTTTTTCCTTAAAAAATTAATTTGTACCTCCACATCTCGAATATCTACGATTTGGCCAACATAGTGTGTTACCGATTTTTTACCCATAAATTTTACAAGTACGAAATCATTTTTCTCCATTTGTTTGTCCATAAAAATATCGTTGTCCTGACCATCATCTTCCATCCAGCCTTCATCCTCTGATTCAAGTATTACTTCTGTAGAAGAATTGGAAGAGGAAGATTCTTTCCTACTCCTTTTTGGTTCATAGGAAAGAGATTTCTTCACTCTATTCTTTTCTCGCATTTCAGCTCTTTCTTGCGCACGTCTTTCCTTCAAATCTTAGCCATTTTTTCAGCTTCCAACTGATCTTTCACTGGTGCTCGTGTAAATAGTCGACTTTTTATTTTTTCTTGCTTTGGAGTTTGATGAGCGATCTGCTTTTAGAAAAGGGCGGCAGCTCTCAGGAGTAATTACAGCTGTTGATGTAGTTGCTACTGATGGTGAAAGCGTAATGGGAGCTACAGGTAGCAGTCTTGTGGAGATTGAAGCAACTTCTAATATTCGCTCAGGATCTTCAGGATTTCTTGGGTTCATTGCTGTTGGTGGTTCTTGATTCCTATCTGTTGTTTCGGCAGCTTTATAATCCTCATCGGTGAATACAAGACGATTTATTGGCCATAAACCAGCAGATCTGAATCCAGATGTTATATTCTTCATTGTAAATGCCACAGAAAAAGCAATACCACACAGTTGAGCAACATCATATATTTCTATAGGTCTGCCTGGTGATTTTGAAGCCAGTCTCCCATTGCAACCCGTAATGCAGCTTTATAAGGACCATATACTGCAACATCTAGCGGCTGTAGTTTGTGGCTACAATGTGGCGGAAACGATAAAAGAGTAATTCCAGATTCTCTAGCTAAGTTTATAGCTTCCAAACTTATATGACTTGAATGATTATCCATTAATATCAGTAGAGGGTTTTCTTTAGAAGCACTTAAGTGCATTTTTATGTGCTTTATTACTTCTAAAAATAATTCTGCAGTCATATAGCCAGACTGATGAGCCAGACCAATGCTCCCTATTGATGCACCATCTAAGAACCGGTCTTTCATATTCTTCCTGGGGAATATGAAAACTGGAGGTATTGCTTGTCCAGTGGCTGTTATAATTCCGCACATTGTAACATTTTCACCGCGTTCTTGAGAGGCCACAGCTCCTATTTGTTTTTTTCCCTTTTCAGCTATACGTTTGGGTGGTGGTAAGACCGTGGGTATACCTGTCTCATCTAAATTTATTATCCTTTCTGGCCTTCCTTTAAATTTATCTAAAACTCCAATGTAATTATCAAAAAATAAATCCACGTTGGATTTGTTAAAGGCTGCATCTCGTGCTATGCTTGTATTTTCAGGTTTTCTAAGAGATAAATCACCATGTCGTTTCATAAATGAATATATCCACTCCTTTCCTGCTATCTTATTTTTAGTCCAATTCGAAGGAATTTCTATTTGTAGAGCACTACCATACTCAAAAGCTAGGGTACAAGCCTGCTTGTAAGTCAAGCCATAATGTAATCGAGACGCCTTCTTAAGATAATTGACAATGTGTTGTTCTTGTTCATCAGAAAATATTTGGCGACCTCGAAATTTATTGACGCCAGAAACATTCAAGCTAACAATTTCTAACTCATCTTCGTTACCTGAATCATCACCAGAGGGTATATTAGCATCTTGAAGGTTCCTCTTAGACGAAATGACTCTTTTGTGAAGCATACTTTTTTTCAATTCATATTTCTCTGCAATATTTCTCAAGCTTCCTTTTTTTCTTAGGATATCCTTTATTGCACTGTAAATAATAATTGGTTTTCTACTGTAAGTCCTCATCTGAAACAAAAAAGCGATTTTTATCACATGATTTTTGGAAATATAATCATTTGTGGGGTTAGTGTGGACAGCTGATGATTTGTCCACACTAACCCCGAACGCCATGTTTGACAGTAACAATGGAATGACGTTTCGAAAAATGATAATTTTATCTCATTCCATATCAAATGTAGTAATTAAATATTCCAGAAGCCATACACTAACTTAGGTATACAATTAGTTCAATAACTTCAATTTTAGTATAATTTTACTTACCGTGTGAAATAAATGGATACAACACACAAAATCACTTTCTGTCACTGGCGGCCATATTATAGAAAATATTTCAACCAACTTTTACGTGGTGTTCGGTGGCGTTAATAGTCACTTCCTGAACAGACTGGGCGGCAGATTTAAATGCGAGTTTTTAAATAATTAACTATGTCCACACTAACCCCATGTCCACACTAACCCCCCTCTCCCCTACAGAAATTAAAAAATTTCACAAATAAAAATTGACATTGAAGTTTGTAATAAATGTCATGATTAAATTGTCTTAAGCACGTTCGTCACAGTAATACGATAAAAAAATAAAATTACTACATATATAAAAATAAAAATAAAAGAATGATATTTCTTTTATGAATTATTAAGGTTAGTTGTTATTAAGGTGAATGTTATCTATTTTCAATATTTATAAATTTTGTTCTATATATTACAATATATGTTACTTAACTGTCCAGTGTCTGTTTTATAATTTAAAGTGTTTTAATTTTTGTTAATATCATACATCTCAAGAAATAATCTACTTTTGTAGTTATCAGTCTGCATATGACCGGTGTTTTCTTAGTGCTCAACTACTGCACAAGTATTTTTTTCCCAAGCGGCAATCACTTTTATGTTTTGTGATGCGTTGTTTTAGCCATTGTGATGTTTGGCCAATGTAACTATTTTGGCATCCTAGACACGGTATTTCTCTGGTTATTTGCTATGAGTACAACATCTTCCGCATACAGTAATCCTTTTATATTAACTGGTGTTAGGTGTGCATAACTTATTGTTGGTTTTAATATGTTTGTTCGTGTGCCTTTCCCTCGAACCTACCAGTAGAAGACGAACAATTATTTATGTATGTATATGTTCTTCTTTTTATATTTTTAAATGCTATTAAACCTATGGATGGCTTAAGTCGTTTGCTCTTCTTTTAATAGTTTATTTATAATTATTACGAATAGAGGTAGGTTCAAACTCTCTCCCTGTTTTATCCCCTTGCTCGTAATTGTATTTCTTTTCTTCTTTTTCTGTCCGGTTGGTTATTTTGAGTATCAATTTTAGTTGTTCGACTGGTTTTTCCCATTTTTATTTCACTTATTGTTTCTTCTAATTCTTCAGTTTTTATTTCTTCATTTGATTTTAGTTTGGTGCTATTTGTTGTAGGGTTTCCTATGTCTCAATTTCTTCAGTTGCTTAATGGCACATATATTTCTCCTTACAATATTTTCTTCACACCTCTAATATTTCTGCTGCAACTGTCTTTATTTGGTTATACCTGTCTTTTACTCTTTTAAGTTATTTTTCTCTTAGATTTCTTACGTTGTTCCTTAAAATGTTGTTGTTGTTTCCGTATTCCACCATTCCGTCTAGGCGATTTTCTCAAAATCGGTCTAGTAAGAAATAATTTTTGTATGTAAGCACAAAATATGTCAATTTTTTAATTATTTATTTATTACAGTCCTCTAGAACAAAGAAACAGAACAAATAGCAGTAACATTCTAAGAACGACGACATTTAATGGTAATGCATCATCCTCTGCTTCCAATTCGATTACAAATCAAAACACCGTTCCTTGTAGGTAAGACATTAAGATTGTATTATTTTTAAACGCTTTCAATGCAAGTTTAATCATAAATTAATACTATTTGCAGCATACTATATTTTCTGATAATATTACTTCTGAATACCAAAGAGAAATTTTTTTTATGTTTTTGAAGTGATAAGCATCTAGAGTTAATGCAAATGAATATATCATATCAATTTTTACAAAAAAATTCTCTTCTTTATTGCATCATTAGAAGACACTAGATTTTCATTTGTTATCGAAGATCGAAGCCTGGTTTTTAATAATTTCGAAAAACCTCGTTTTGAAATTACTTGGGTGAGAGTGAGAGGAACTGCTCACAGGACTTTATAAGCTTTTCTTAGCTCGGTATAAATGATACTGTACATATTACATTCATAAATGAGCTTATAAGCTCATTTAATGCAAGATTTACGTGGTTTTTCTGTAACACACGTTATTAGATCTTTATTTTCTGAATAATTTTAATTTTTACCTTCATTGAGACCTTCTTGATCCGATTAATTCAAATAATATTCATGTGATTCCCACATATTGGCTCAAATCCATCTTTGTCACAATACCTAAAAAAACAATGCGAGAAAATGTTCAGAATATCGATTAATTCGGCTAATGAGCCACACTCTTACAATTTTCCTAAGAATACTTCAGACAAACAGAATTAGACGCAAATGCGAAGAAGATGTCGAAGTTACCCAATTTGGTTTTAGAAATGCTATGGGAACCAGGGAGGTTTGTTTGCGCTTAACATCCTATTACCAAAATGACGTGACCAAATAAAAGATGTATTTGCATGTTTCGTGGACTTCGAAAAGGCATTCGATAAAGTACAGCATGTAAAATTAATACAAATACTGAAAAATATCGGAATAGATGACAAGGATATTCGTGTCATTAAAAATTTGTACTGGAATCAAACTGTTATCGTAAAAATTGGAGATAACTATACCGATCAAATCTCCATACAACGAGGAGTTAGACAAGGTTGTATTTTGTCGCCAACATTGTTCAATCTTTACTCGGACCAATTATTTAAAAAGGCACTTAAGATACAACCATATGGAATAAAAATCAACGGGGAACTACTTAATATGATTAGATATGCAGACGATACAGTAATTCTATCAGATAATATTAAAGATCTTCAAATTCTGCTTGATCGTATTTACGAGGTAGGAGAGGAAATGGGCATTAAAATAAACTCAAACAAAACCAAATTTTTAGTGTTTAGTCGTGACCCACATCCCGATGCAAAGCTTCAATTAAACGGAGTCCAAGTTGAGAAAGTTCACAAAATGACATATTTGGGAACTGTGATAACGGACCAACTAGATCCAGACATAGAAATAAAACGTAGAATAGCAATGACTAAAACTACTTTTATGAAAATGAAGTCAGTAAAGGGGCTATGCCGATTTATGCGCAAAACAGGTCATTTTCCTATGTAAATCTCCATAAGAAAATCTAAGGTCGATTCTGGTCATTTTTGTCTCATTTTGTGGTGAGGTAAAACGGCCCGTCGGATCATGACGTGTAAGGTATCGTTGGAAAGCAGAGGAGACGGGGAACACGTTGAGATAAAAATCAAACGCAAATACTGTGTCAAAACGGCGCTATATCGTATCTCCATTGTTATTGGTCCGATCGTGACGTACGAGGGCTCGTTGGAACGGTGAGGAGACGGGAAATACGAACCTGTTCAAACCTGTTCAATACCTGTTCAAACCTGTTTAATACCTGTTCAATACTTGTTCAAATATGTTCAAACCTGTTCAATACCTGTTCAATACCTGTTCGAGAATTCATGTAGGTATACGATCAATCAGCTTTAATGAACAGGTATTGAATAGGTTTGAACAGGTATTGCACAGGTTTGAACAGGTTTGAACAAGTATTGAACAGGTATTGAACAGGTTTGAACAGGTTTGAACAGGTATTGAACAGGTTTGAACAGGTTTGAACAGGTTCGTATTTCCCGTCTCCTCACCGTTCCAACGAGCCCTCGTACGTCACGATCGGACCAATAACAATGGAGATACGATGTAGAGCCGTTTTGACACAGTATTTGCGTTTGATTTTTATCTCAACGTGTTCCCCGTCTCCTCTGCTTTCCAACGATACCTTACACGTCATGATCCGACGAGCCGTTTTACCCTCACCACAAAATGAGACAAAAATGACCAGAATCGACCTTAGATTTTCTTATGGAGATTTACATAGGAAAATGACCTGTTTTGCGCATAAATCGGCATAGCCCCTTTACTGAAGTCATTTCTTTGCAATAATCATCTAAGTTTAGACCTAAGGCAAAGAATGGTTAAGTGTTATGTTTGGTCCGTACTTTTGTATAGTGCAGAAGTGTGGACGCTAAAAGTATCGATCATGAATAAAATTGAAGCATTGGAAATGTGGGTTCATAGGCGAATGCTGAAGATAACTTGGACAGCAAGGAAAACTAATGAAGAAGTACTAAGGAGCGTCAACAAAGATAGAGAACTACTAAAGACTGTTAAACATCGAAAAATGTCTTATCTGGAACATATAGTAAAGAGAAGTCGATATAAAATATTACAACTGATCCTTAAGGCAAAATAGAGGGCCTTAGAGGTGTAGGAAGAAAACAAGTTTCTTATATATAAACTTAGTAAACCTTAGTCTGAGTTGAAGATCGAAATCTGAACAAGTCAGTACCTTCTTGAATTTTACGAAAGCTTGTCGAGCTTGCTCAATGCGACATTTTACTTCCCTGTCCGATGCCCAGTCTTCAAAAAGCCACGATCCCAGGTATTTAAATTTACTCACTCTTTCAATGGATTTAGTATTCAGTGTTATGGTGGAGTTTTCAAGTGCATCCAAGTTTCTGGAGATGATCATGAATTTGGTCTTTTTGGTATTAATCTCTAATCCCATTCGCTTACTGTATTCTCCGATTATAGTGACAAGTTGTTGAAGATCGACTATGTTGTCACAAATTAAGACACCATCATCAGCATATCGTATGTTGTTGATCAATACTCCATTCACCTTGATTCCCATCTCTGCACCCTCCAAAGACTCTTGAAATATGGCTTCCGAATAAATGTTAAATAAAAGAGGGGAAAGCACACATCCCCGTCGAACGCCTCTTCTTATATGTATGGTTTTGGATATAGAATTGTCTATTTTTAACTGTGCCTTTTGATGCCAGTACAAATTTTCAATGCATCTTATGTCTTTTTGGTCTATATCAATTTTCTTGAGAATCTGCATTAACTTGTGGTGTTGGACACGATCAAACGCTTTTTGGTAATCTAAAAAGCCTAGGAACACATCCTTCCTCTGATCGTAACAATTTTGGACCAGCACCTGTGTTGCTACTATTGCTTCTCGTGTTCCTAAACCTTGCCTAAACCCGAACTGGGAATCACTGATGTCCCATTCACATTTTTTGTGTAATCTTGATGTAGTATTTTTAAGAATATCTTTAAAGTGTGACTCATCAGGCTAATGAGTCTGTGATCCTCACATCTTTTTGCATTGACTTTCTTGGGCAGGGGAATAAAGGTAGAGCGTAACCACTGTTGAGGATAGCAGCCAGTTTGATAAATTAAATTAAATATTTTGTGTAGTGCTGAAATTCCTCTTTCATCTAGTAATTTGAGTATTTCTGACGGGATCTCTTCTGGTCCAGGTGCCTTATTGTTTTTTAAATTTAATATTGCCTTTTCTATCTCCTCTTTGGTGATTGAAGGGCCAGTCAGCTGGTCGTCTGTATAAACTTCACTCATGGGTCTTTCGTCATGGAAGAGCTCCTGGATATAATTTTTCCATATATCAATTTTCTCCTTTTCACCCAGCACTATCTGGTTATCCTGATTAACTATGGTAGTTGGTCTTCGTTTTCTGTATATTCCAGCAGTCTCCTTAAGCTTTTTATGTAAATTACGGTCGTCGTGCTGTCATTGTAAATGTTCTAGATCGATACATTGTTGCTTAAGCCATTCATTTTTTGTTATTACTATTACTACAATTACTACAATTACTAGTCTATTATGTACTTATATTATGTAATTTCTTACAAATATGTTTATATTTTTTAGTAGTAGCCAACCACAGAATCTGCTTAAAACTCACGATCTAACCACAGCAGCAGCCTTACTTCAACAAAGCAACCGTTTTCTTCAAAGCGATGCCAAAACGTGGAAGCAACACATACCGAAGCAGCATGGAGCCGCTCGCCTTTTTAGCTACATGGAAGCTAGCGACGGGTCGGAGCCAGAGAGTGAACCACGTGTAGCTGAGGACATGAGTAGAATAAATCTTAGCCATCGAATCCAGTCGGATTTTCCTGAGGCGGGAGATGTTGGCAATCAAGTTGACGAAGAACACGGAGAAGAAATGGAGCTTCCCCTTTTCGTCTGCCAAACGTGCGGTTGCGAGTTTGAAGATGACCTTTCTCTAGAAACCCATCAATATACTCACCGACATTCTGCAACATCTCCCGCTAAAACTGAACATTCGAAAGAGAATGTTGATCCAGATTTAAAATACCGTTGTCGTTTATGCGATGCAGCTTATGATCATCAATCATCCATCATAGCCCATATGGTAATTCATACAACTTTAGGAGCAGATACCTTAGGTCCGCCAGTGATACAAAGCAAAAGATCGAGAAAACAAAATCAACCAAAGAAACTGGTTTTACCGTTTTGGGATCCAGAGGAAATCGAAGTGGTAAGACATCTTAATATCAAACTAAGACGGTGGAAAGAAACCTTGTCAACTTCAATTGTAGGTGTAAATAGGTTAGTAGATAAACATGTGGCAAAGTTGGTAACTAGAAAGGGGCTGGCGTGCATATGGTGCAAAAACACTGGTTTAAGTAAATTTCATACCAAAGCAACGTTAGCCCTTCATCACTATTGGAGGCATACTCGAAAAAAATTTAAATGTGAACATTGTGATATGGCTTTTAAACATCGATATCAAACCGTGCTCCACAGCAGCCGTGTACATACGAATCAGAAGTCTCAATTTGTGCCTACGGTGCTTCCCAAAGAACCAATGCATTTAGCACTTAGTGCTGAATCTGTATGCTCTTCCCAGGACACCAGTCTCTTCTTTAGCAACACACATACTGTATATGTACCTGACGCAACAATGTCTAATGCACATAAATTAGGAATGTCGTTCTTCGATCATTCTTTTATACATCCAAGTAATGCTATAAATAATCATATGCCAATTATCATACCAACATTTCCACCCAACTGAAAATAAATATAAAATTTATTTACCTATCCAAAGCATAGAATTTTCCTAATATTCATTAACTTTAGTTTTACTATAATACGACAAATTTAGCTTTAAATTAATGACAATAAAATTGAAAAGCATGTAGCTAAAGAAGAAAAGTATTTCAGGGACAAAGGTTAAAGAGAATAATGTGATATCGAGAATGATTAGGGTTTAGATTATCTTTATGACTAATGGCGGTTTAACCAAAACTGTAAATTCCAGAATTGACTAATATACCATTCGCTTTAACAGTTAGTCTCTTTGTAGTGACGAAAAATTCCGACTGGATACATTCCTTCTCCATTTTTTCATATTTTCACTTCAAGATTTTTTTGCAATCTGGGTTTATACTAAGTGTGATTGATTTCCGGTTCACAGTTTCCAATCAGTCGCCCTCTTTCAGATCTCTTTCAACTTTCAATCAGAGCTATTTCTGGCGTATGTCTTAAACAACAACAGTTGATAAAACAAATGCCATTTTTGCACAAATAGTGCGTTTCCTGCTTCTTCTGATCTAAAATCCATCGGAGTTAAAGCAAGGAGAAGAGTTGCCAGAGACAGGGGCGAATGGAAGATTGTTCTGAAGAAAGCTTTGGCTCATTACGAGCTGAAATATCCACTGATGATGACATTAATAAGTGTTGTTTTATTATTTACTTTATTAACTAGTATGAGATGTGGTTTATTATATGTCACTAGTTATTATTTTCAAGCATTCTATTAGGGTCATATTGATAATAAAGGAGATGGTTGGTTTGGAAAACTTCTAGTTTTTTAACTCCATCTCTCGATGAAGCATCTTTCCTACTGAATAATGCCCTTAATGTTCCTTATATTCTGTTACAGCAAAGGCCTGGCAGCCCCAGAAGATACACAATTCTCGTAGTCTGCATTGTGGACCTAAAACGTGAGCTTTTTGAAAAATTCTTCCTGCGATTTGTTGGATCGCCAGTTTTGTTGGTTGTTTTCCTCCATTCTTTGTACATGTGTGTACCATACAAGCTCCTAATTCCTTGAGCACTTGTCAGGGCGTGGTGACACTCTTATCGTGCTGTGTCATATGGACGGCTTGATGTAGGGAGTCTTCATTTGGTCTGCCCATCGTGTTGGAGATCTTCCACTTGGTCTTCGACTTTCTACCTTTCCTTTACTCTAATAGTTCCATGGTCCCCCTTTCTAGCTATGTAACCGAAGTTAATTAGGTTTGCTCGGTTTACTTTTTTCAATAGCTTGTCTTTTATATGAAGCTCTTTCTGAATTAACAGGTTGGTTCTATGTTCTCTCCAGGACATGCGTAGAATTCTTCTATAGACCCATATTTCGAAGGCTTCGGACTTACTCATATCTTTTTAAGAGTCCATGTTTCAGCTGCGTACGTAGCAATGGGAAAAATAAGGGCATTGACCAACCTGAGCTTAGTATTCCTTATTATTGTTTGGTCCTTCCATATTTTAATCAATTTAGCTGTTGCGGTTCGTTCCCTTGCTAGTCTATGCTTGATTTATGAGGAGCAATCGCCATTGTTGGTTATCAGGGAGCCCAAGTATACAAATCTGTCTACCACTTCGAAATTTGCCACTTGGTGCATCCGAATTCTTCAAGTCCGAATTCTTCGCTTATCCGGCTTAGCCATTCAGTGATGGTAATCATTTCGATGGTGTCAACTGCTTATCGCAGGTTTCTGATTGTTCTGCCTCCTATAGTGATTCCCTCCATCCCATTCATCTAGTACTTTTCTCATTATGGATTCAGAATATATAATATATAATAATGGTGATAATAAGCAGCCCTGTCTAGTTCCTTCCTTTGTTTTGAACAAAGGTTCTTTATCATACAGATTTCTTATTAGGTTGTTAGGTACTCTCATATTATTTTTCAATATACTCCAGAGGGATCCTATTTTACAGAATCTAAAGCCTTTGTGTAATCTACGAATCAGAGCAGCATTGGTGTGTTGTGTTCCTCTCGCTTTTCCTATTATCTTTTTGGTGTTCAATATCTGCTCCCGCGTTTATTTTCCTATTACGAATCCGCATTGTCCTTCGGCTATCTCTGGAAGTAAAAAGTACTTTAGCTGCTCATTGATTATATTTAGCAGAATTTTGCTTACATGAGGAATAAGAGCAATAGTTCTGTAATTACTGCATATGATTAGTGATCCTTTTTTTATGGATAGGGATAAAGGTTGAGATTCGCACAACTCATCAGACCATTCACCTGTGATTCATATCTTGTTGCACATATCCAGCATTACATCTACGCCAATTTCGCTCATTACATTGTTAGAGTCTCCGCTGTTGCCGTCGACCCCTGGGAATTTTTTGTTTTTTTAGATAGTTGAGAGCCTTCTCTACTTCTGCTCGTAAGATTATTAGTTCTGCCTCTCTGATGGCATGTTTCTTGTGTTCTGATACTGATGCATCTTTTGAAGTGGCTTTGTATAATTCTGAGCATTAATTTTTCCATGTCTCTGCAACCATACAACCTATGTTTTCTCAATATCTGTTTTTTAATGAACCGCCCACTTTTATACGCTGTCTGAGGTCATCATTTCTAATTATATACCTTCTGTAATTCTTAAGGATTATCTAAACTTGTCCATCTCTTTTACCTCAAGCTCTTTCTGTTATATTCAGTGATTCTCCATATCTTTGGGCCATAGGTTTGATTTGCATTGTTTTCTAATATCAAAACTTCACCAGATTCCATTTCTTCTACTTCTTACAAGAGATTTTCTGAATTTGCTCATATTAAAAGGTACTTCGTTGATTAAATATTCATTTCCAGACCCTATTTCTTGTATTCTTCATGCAGTTTGCTTGTCTATATTCAAGGGTGTTCTGTTTATTCGCTAATACCACTTGGCATCGCTAACCTGTAACATATTTTTTTCATTTTCTCTTTTCTTTCTCTCCAAGATCGATCCCGAATAGTTTTGATTCGATTGATTTAAATCACGTGTCACATAAATTTAAAAAACGGTGTCGGTGAAATACTATGCCGCAGACCTTTTCTTACAGGGAATTTATTTGATATATTGTTAACAATTTTTATTCCTAAATTCCTCAACAAAACTTGAACTAAAATGCTAAATTTGTCGTGTTGCAGCTTATTTAAATAAAAAATAATCTTTTACAACTTGTAACTATCGATTATAAATTTCTGCATATATGTTAGAATCTAGTATAGAACGGCATCTAAAGTTGGACAGATATTTTTGATACTTCTTTTATCAAATGTTTTAAATATTGCAAAAATTTAATGAAAACGAAATTGCATATTTTACATTTGAATAGCGGACTGATGATATATTATATAGTTTAAATAAAATACGTGCTTATCGGACTTCTTCATTGTAAATCGACGGGCCCTCTAATTACTAGAAAAGTAAAGAAAAAGTCTAAATGTTTGTAAGACAACAGAAAATTTAGAATGTTCATTTGATGAATTTGGAATTACGGTTTTGGATATCTATGATCGGTTATGCATTGCAATGTAGAAATAGATGAAGATAAATCCAATATACTTAGATCAGGGTGAACGCAAGTGATTGGCATATTATGTGATAAAAATTCAAATGAAACTGAAAGGTCAAAGCTATAAGACCGCTTAAGGTCAGTATGATGTACGGCACTCTATGTTACACAGCTAAAAAAGGAAGATGCCATTTTATTTAATTTAATAAAACTATTTCGTGGCAAACTATATTTAGTGACAAGTTCTCAGAAGGAGATGGTAGAGATTTATTTATGAATGTTGCCACACTTATGAGTAAATACAATAAGAATGGGGACATGAAGAGTTGGAGACAGCTTCCATTGACATGCGCAAGATTTGACAGATAGAACAAGATTATTTTAATAATTGCAAAAGCAAAAGAAAATACACAACAATGTTGTGTGACGGGTAGCTCTTTCGAGGCGATAGACTCAGTAAAGCACAGGTTGACATAAAAATAAATCTATTAATTTTAACGTATATACAATAAATAAAAATAAAATGTCTTCTATGTCCCCGTCTGGATCCCGCGAGATTGAACTCCCCGGCGAACGTCTGTAAAAGAAAAAAAAATTTATTATTACTAACAAAAAAATGAAATACGCGAAGTTGATCACACGCAGACTTATACTCGCTTCCACCTCAATTCAACGGAAGCTCCAAACGCACTCGCAGTCAAAACCTTCGGTTATGCAGATCCATGTTGACGATAACGTTCAATTCACGATACCGATGGGTTCTGCTTGGTTAAAGCCGGCCACTCCCGGTACAGCGGTGTCGTTCGACATAATCGGACAGCGGCGTTGTTCAATTTGTTGGCAAACCTAAAATGAAACGTAGATTTTGGTGCAAAGAATGCAAGATTTTTGTGCACAAAAAATCTCGTGCTGCGAGAAATTTACTTAACTGCAATGCTAATTTTAATTTTCTTTTATATGATGTTCTAAAATTATTAATTTTTTTCTTACATACTCTTCATTAGCATCTTTGTTTACTTGTTGGAACTTTAAAACTAGAATGTCCATTGCTTTTTTTCGGGCGTTTCTATCGTGATACGTTTTACCTTTTATTTGCCATAAGCATTCTTGTTCTTTATATAATTCAAAAAACTCTCTTAAAAAATTCTCGCTAAATGAAGCCATGTCGATTTTCTATATATTCAAAGCAAGTGTGTAGTTAAAAATGTATTTTTGCAGTATAGACAAATTGTAAACGGTCATACACGCTCAACAAATTGATGAGATCAACTCTGCAGTATTGCAGCAGATAGGCCAGTCTGTCTGCGGTCAAATTGTACGATTTCATTGGATGCACGGTCACACACGATTAAAATCCTTGTCAATTCGTCGAACTCGACGAAGTTGAACAACGCCACTGTATCGTGAGTGGCCAGCTTAAGGACAGAGTATGATCCTCAATGCGGAAGTCTTTCCGTCCGGGTTGGCTCACAGATTCACTACACCAGCGATCCAGGGAGC